GGTGGCCTTGCATGGAATGGGAAGGAACAGACTAAACACAGTTGTTATCAGGGTGTTTTGTTCAGCTCCGGCCTTGCAGCTGGCGCCGAAGGGGTATCCGCATATGTGATGTTATTTTTTACTTCAGTGCGAACAGCTCATATGAATTTCAAAGCAGTTCTACAGTCCAACACTGGTCTCTCAATCTCCCATTGGAGAGTCGCGAGCTTCGCCATACTACTTCTGAGAACTCACCGCAGTTTTCCTCCCCGAGATGTCATCCAATTTTGCGCCCAGAGATGTTATTCCGGGCTAGTCCTTCCGAGATGTATCCAGTCTGCAGTCAAAGATCTTATTCTGAGTATTCACAGCAGCCGTAGCCTCTCCAAGATCTTGTCCGTGCTGACTCGTTGAGAAAGGGGTGTCTATTGCATTTAGGGACCAGTTGATCCAATCCATAATTCCTCTTTTAGGTTTTAGAGAACAGACTGTGAGAGAATGTTCCAGGGAAAAATACAAAAAAACCACGAGACTAGACAAGGACATAAGCAGGGAAGATAAGGGAGAGGAGAAAAAGTGTGTCCGCCTCCTCCGAGAGCCAAAGAAGAGAGTCATGTCCTGTGGAGGTGGCTCTTCTGTGTTGTGCCATGCGCTTGTGAATCGGCTGTTTGGTCTCTCCAATGTAGAGATCTGGGCATTCCTCGCTGCACTGTACAGCATACACCACATTGTTAAGTCTGTGTTTAGGAGTTTTGTCTTTCAGGTGAACCAATTTTGGTCTGAGTGTGTTGCTGGGTCTGAAATGCACTGGGATGTCATGCTTGGAGAAAACTCTCCTGAGTTTACATAGGGGATGACAATTTTGTTGCGTCTGTCCTTCTTATCCTCCCTTGCTGGTGTCTGATCTTCTTTTCTGTGCCTCTTTGTTGACATTATGAACGCCTAGTTAGGATAACCGCATGTTTTGAGTGCTTCCTTTAAAGTCTAAGCCACCCTCTCCAGTGCCAAAGTCCCTCCGTCCAACCTCACAATACAAGAAAAGAAGGCCGTCACTTCCCTGAGCAAAGACTACAACATCACTGTTTTACCAGCTGATAAGGGAAGATGCACCGTAGTCCTAAACACTACAGATTACCACACAAAGATCACTACTCTCCTCAGTGACAACAATACCTAGAAAACCTTAAAGCGAGACCCCACAAGCCGCTACAAAAAGAAAGGTATAGGTTGCCTTCAGGACCTTGAAAAGGACAAAATCATTGACCACCTTACATATCACCGCCTTTATCGAGAGGTTGCCATACCCTGCATTTACGGACTTCCTAAAATCCACAAGGAAGATGTCCCACTCATAATCAGTAGCAAAAACTCAGCCACTTATAACATTGCAAAACACTTTGCCACCATCCTTGCACCTCTTGTGGGGAACACCCCACAAGAGGTGCAAGGATCATCATCATCATCATCATCATCATCATCAAACAAACATCAAACATCAAAAACTCCACCGACTTCACCGAAAGGTCCAGAAACTTACCCTGGATCCAGATGAAACCATGTAGTCTCTCTTAACTTGCATACCCACCACAGAGCCCGTGGAAACTGTCAAAAAACGACTACAAGACGACAGCTCCTTGGAAGACAGGACCAACTTCACACCCGATCAGATCTGCACACTGTTAGACCTCTGCCTTACCACAACATACTTCAAATACAACGAAGGCTTCTACAGACAAAAACATGGCTGCGCCATGGGCTCCCCCGTGTCACCTATTGTAGCCCAGACCTCTACATTGGAGAGACCAAACAGCCACTTCACAAGCACATGGCACAACATAGAAGAGCCACCTCCACAGGACAAGACTCAGCAGTCCATCTGCATCTTAAGGAAAAAGGTCACTCTTTCAAGGATACCAATATTCACATTTTGGACAGAGAGGACAGATGGTTTGAAAGAGGAGTGAAAGAAGCCATCTATGTCCACTGTGAGCGACCATCTTTGAACACAGGCGGTGGTTTACGACACCAACTCTCTGCCATCTATAATCCAGTTTTGAGTTCCCTCCCCAGACGCCTTAACGCCCACTCACATCCTGGGCCATCTTACCTCAGGAATTCACACGATAAGGTGGGGCCAGGTTTCACAATAAGCTCACCCAAAACCCTGGCTGATTGGGATCCATTCCCACACCAGTTTTCACACCTTGGTTCAGGCGATTAGAGGATCATCAGGGGGTCCTTTTGTCCCTCTTTGGGGGGATATTCTCCCACTAGGTTTAAATATGGGACTCCCCACCATTTGACCTTAGAACTGAAGTAGCTTCTCGGATGAGAGGTGAAACATCTTCAAGCAACTTAAAGAAGTCCAGACGCTTTTCTTTGCAAGCACCTTTGAACACTTACTTTTACAACTTCATGCTGTTCTTTATGCAACAGTGGATAATCAGTATTTGGCTCCATGATTTCAGTATAATTGGGTCATTCATGAAGTATTCTATTCCAGCTGCTGGAGGACAACATCATCAGCTTTGTGAAGAAAGAGCTAAAGAAGATCCAGAAGGTTCTGAGTCCAGATTACCCAGAATGCTTAGAGAGTCAGAGGGAGGAGGAAGAGCAGAGGAGGAGCAGCAGAGAGGCATTTGTGAAAATCACCCTGGACTTCATGAGAACAATGAAGCTTGATGAGCTGGCTGACCGTCTGCAGAGAAGTAAGTGGATTTCACTAAAGGTTTAAGTTGCTGGTGTAAAGAATTTACTAATTTCAAAATAAATAGAACAACACATAACAATGATGATATGTGGAATTTAAATTGTCAATACATTTTTTTTAAACAGTACCTTATGTTGTACTTTTTTTGTTGCTTTTTCTCTGAAAACGTCTAGATGCCATTTGTCCTCACAAACTTAAATCTACACTAAAGGAGAGGTTCCAGTGTGTGTTTGAGGGGATCGCTAAAGCAGGAAACCCAACCCTTCTTAATCAGATCTACACAGAGCTCTACATCACAGAGGGAGGGACTGCAGAGGTCAATGAAGAACATGAGGTCAGACAGATTGAAAAGGTATGCAGGAAACGAGACAGACCAGAAACATCAATCAGAGAAGAAGACATCTTTAAAGCCTCACCTGAACGACTTGAACCAATCAGAACAGTGCTGACAAAGGGAGTGACTGGTATTGGAAAAACAGTCTTAACACAGAAATACATTCTCGACTGGGCTGAAGACAAAGCCAACCAGGACATCCAGTTCATGTTTCCATTCACTTTCAGAGAGCTGAATGTGCTGAAAGACAAAAAGTTCAGCTTGGTGGAACTTGTTCATCACTTCTTTACTGAAACCAAAGAAGCAGGAATCTGCAGCTTTGAAGACTTCCAGGTTGTGTTCATCTTTGATGGTCTGGATGAGTGTCGACTTCCTCTGGACTTCCACAAAACTACAATCCTAACTGACCCTAGAAAGTCCACCTCAGTGGATGTGCTGCTGATAAACCTCATCAGGGGGAAACTGCTTCCCTCTGCTCACCTATGGATAACCACACGACCTGCAGCAGCCAATCAGATCCCACCTGACTATGTTCACAGGGTGACAGAGGTCAGAGGGTTCACTGACTCACAGAAAGAAGAGTATTTCAGGAAGAGATTCAGAGATGAGGAGCAGGCCAGCAGAATCCTTTCTCATGTCAAGACCTCACGAAGCCTCCACATCATGTGCCACATCCCAGTCTTCTGCTGGATGACAGCTACAGTTTTGGAGAATGTGCTGAAAACCAGAGAGGGAGGGCGGCTACCCAAGAACCTGACTGAGATGTACATCCACTTCCTGGTGATTCAGGCCAAAGTGAAGAAGGTCAAGTTTGATCAAGGAGCCCAAACAGATTCACACTGGAGTCCAGAGAGCAGGATTATGATTGAGTATCTGGGAAAATTGGCTTTTGATCATCTGCAGAAAGGAAACCTGATCTTCTATGAATCAGACCTGAGAGAGTGCGGCATCGATATCAGAGCAGCCACAGTGTTTGCAGGAGTGTTCACACAGATCTTTAAAGAGGAGAGAGGACTGTACCAGGACAAGGTGTTCTGCTTCATCCATCTGAGTGTTCAGGAGTTTCTGGCTGCTCTTCATGTCCATCTGACATTCATCAACTCTGGACTCAATCTGCTGGAAGAGCAACAAACCACCTCCCAGAAGCCTGAAACAACAGAATCTTCAGCGTCTCACTTTTACCAGAGTGCTGTTGACAAGGCCTTACAGAGTCCAAATGGACACCTGGATCTGTTCCTCCGCTTCCTCCTGGGTTTTTCACTGCAGACAAGTCAGACTCTCCTACAAGGTTTGCAGACACAGACAGGAAATACTTCACAGACCAATCAGGAAACCGTCCACTACATCAAGAAGAAGCTCAGCGAGAATCTGTCAGGAGAGAAAAGCATCAATCTGTTTCACTGTCTGAATGAACTAAATGATCGTTCTGTAGTGGAGGAGGTCCAGCGGTACATGAGTTTAGGAAGTTTCCCCATACGTAATCATTCCCCTGCTCAGTGGTCAGCTCTGGTCTTAATCTTAGTCTCATCAAAAAAAGATGTAGACCCAAAGACATTTTCTTTAGAGAAGGCTCTTCTGGAGCTGCTGCCAGAGGTCAATGCCTCTAATAAATCTCTGTAAGTAAATATGTGCTGATGCCTTTATTTGGTAAATGGTTATTCTAGTTAACATAAAGCAGTTTGAAAACAGCTGTAATGGTTCAGGGTTTTTTAAAAATATATAAAACATTTACATTATCATCAGTACTCAATCCAACTGTTAATGCATATGTAGCGGCAATGATTGTCAGCATTTCTGACAAAGAAACTAGGTGCAATTGTTATTAAAGTAACTTTGTCTCATTTCCCTCACCCTTGATTCCTCCATGCTGTTTAGTCCTGTCCTCCCTTTCAGTCTTTGTGGTGGTTTTGTATTCAGTTGGATATTTAATTTCTTACTGACTTCTATCAGTCAAAGAATTGCTTGCTTTTTTTTTTAGTCCACATGTCCTCTGCATCCTGCACTTTGGGTCAGTCCTGTTCCACAAACTGTGCGATTCTTGACAGATTGTGACAGACTGCCAGTATGGACCTATAAAAAGGTACCATTAACGCTGTGGAAAATAAGGGATTAGACTGCTGAATTTAGGTGTCAAAAACTGTGGTAGAGCACTACAAAGGATGCCTTATTGTAAGGCTAAAAAAACCCCAGATTGACAAAAAATACATTTTCCTTGCTGCTTTACTTTTGGTTTTACCTGAGAACAATAATTTTCCTCTTAAGTTGATATTTTAGCTAATTTTCTTTATGGACACATTTTAATCGGGACACTGTTTATATAAATTTGTTTAGTTTAATCCCAAACTGCATTACTCTTTCAGACTGAGTCTCTGTAACCTGTCAGAGACAAATTGTGAAGCTCTGTCCTCAGTTCTCAGCTCCCAGTCCTCCAATCTCAGAGAGCTGGGCCAGAGTAACAGCAGCCTGCAGGATTCAGGAGTGGAGCCTCTGTCTGACGGACTGAAGAGTCCACAGTGTAAAACTCTCAGGTCAGATCAAATGAAATATATATATATATATATATATATATATTATGAATTGTCAAAAATGAATTAAAGATCAAGGTAAAAAATACAATTATTATTGCCAAATGTTTTAGTCCTTTAGTCCTGATTACTCTTTAGCAGTTTTGTTTGGTTTGTTTTTCAGAGTGATGGGCTGTAACCTCTCAGAGAGCAGCTGTGAAGCTTTGTCCTCGGTTCTTAGTTCTCAGTCCTCTAGTTTAGGAGAGCTGGACCTGAGTAACTCCAACCTGCTGGATTCAGGAATGAAGCTTCTTTGTGATGGACTGAAGAGTCCGAACTGTAAACTGAATACACTTAGGTCAGACCAAGCTATATATATTTTTTTCATCTGATGACAGAATTAATAAATTAAATGTTTTGGCTAAAGGAATTACAGGGTCCAGAGAAAAAAAACAGTATTAGATATTGATAAAATAATAATTCAAAATTTCACTTTAAAAACAAATAATTTTTTTCAATGGTTACGAATCTGTTATCTTTCAGACTGAGTCACTGTAGCCTCTCAGAGAGAGATTGTGAAGCTCTGTCCTCAGTTCTCAGCTCCCAGTTCTGCAGTCTGAAAGAGCTGGACCTGAGTAACTCTGACCTGCAGGACTCAGGAGTGAAGCTTCTGTCTGTTGGATTAAAGAGTGCAAACTTTAAACTGGAAACTCTCAGGTCAGGTTCTACTGATTATCATCTAAAATCTATATTCAATTGTTGTATAAAAGTGAACCTTTAAAGAATTGTATTAGACTTTGAATTATTGTTTGAGATTTTTCATAATCACATTTCTTTTGTGATGTATTCAAAGAAAATTATGTTGCACTAGTAAAGTTAGAGATTTGGGGCAATTTGTCCATATTATATTCTATTAAATTCTGTTCTTTGCATACTTTTGGAGGCAAAGAAAAACTCAAGGCTCAAAGTGGTCTAACTCATGATCTTTATTTCCATTCCCGAGAATGGGAAGCTGTTAGGCGCTCTCATGCACCCACAGCTCTGAAAAAAATCACAAGATGAATCTTTATGTGTCTAGTTTGGCTATGTCACACACACATAGGGGCGGATCTAGAGAAATATTCTTAATATTCTTGGGGTGGCAAGGAAATCAAATGGGGTGGCAAAATCAAAGCCCCCCCCCCCCAAAAGAAAAACACACATGCAGGTGGTTACATATGGTTAATTACACACTTTAGTTACATAAAACATGTGAGTTTTGATCTTATGTACTGTATAGCCTGTATAATAAATAAACATGTAGCCCAATAAGTATAAAATCCAGAAAGCTACCAACTAAGCTACCAACAACCAGCTACAACACGATTCATTTACAAACACAAGTGTAACTTAAGTTTCACAGTTTCTTGTTAGAAAACAATCAAATTGTTAGATGCTTAAATTACACAAAATGTCAGAAATCTGCACTGACATGAACAGAAATTTAAACCTAATTTTTCATGATTTGTTGGATTAACCCTCTGAGGTCTGAAATACAACCGGCCATTTTTGACTCCTTTTGAGTTTACGTTTGTTTCACCATCAGATTGTTTCATTTTATTTTTTTCCCCCTTGCCTTGTTTGGTGTGATTCTTTTCAGCTCAACTTATTATTTAGCTCAATTTAGTTCTTTTGACTGACATACTGCATTAGTATTACTGATCTGAAATCAGAATCAGAATCAGAATCAGAATGGGGTTTATTGCCAGATGTTGAGGTTTACAACATTAGGAAATCACACAAAGAACTTAAAATCCGAGTTGTATTTTTTTACTGTAAAAAAAACCAGTAAACTTGAAATGCAAATATAAATTGTACATTTTGTAAACATATACAGCTATTCATCTAAAAATGCAGCCAATACACCTGCCGTTTTTTTTTTCATTTTCTACAACCATTTAAAAATATTACTAAAACTAAAATGAGAGAACAATCAGGTATCGCAATAAGATGCCCCACAAATGATGTGCACCAGTAAAAAAAGGGTTTGTCCACCAAAAGACAGAGGAGAACAGCACAGGGACAAACCTGCAGCCCTGACAACAGGAGGTGTATCACTCTGCTGGTTTTCTACTTAGTGACAGTGTTTACACTGCAATGTGCCTTTGTGACATTCATTAGTGCCCTCACTGACACACAAAACAAAACAATGACTACACAACAGAACAACTACACAAGACCACACAACACACTAAGTAAACACTCCACACTAAACGTCACAAATCTCCCACATCTAAAAACTCTTTCGCTCTGTCTCGCTGTCATTAAGATCACTCCCAAAACTTTTCCCTCTTCCTAAACAATCAAATCCCACATGTTGACTTTTTTTAAAAATTGGTCGACATGGTACATTTTTCCACCGACAGGAAAGCGATGGCTTTTTTTCCTTTCTTTACTTTTTTTTCGCGCTGTCCTTAGAAAACGCTTAAAAAACACACACACACAAAAACGTGTTTAGAAAAAAGCGTGGCTTATATATATTATCATAACTCTGGATTTACTGGCCTGTAATTAAAATTTAAAAACTTTGAAGTCCGAACTTTCAATGTGGGCTGAAACAGAGACTCAGCATGGCTGCAGCTTATGTCAGCTTACATCAGTCATGTGATTTGGAGGTGCAGCGTGTCCGTGGACCACAGAGGGTTAATAACACTCACCTTCCTTCCATTTCCAGAGTGTAACATCCAACCACCTGTGTAAAATCCGAAATTCCCATGGTGTTGTTCAAAACGTGCTCTGGCCGGTCCTGCTTTGGGCTGAACCATTTGTTAATGGTGGAGGGGGGGACACTATCCAATATATTCAGTTTTAGTATTTATATTCACTGTTGACTGTAACTACGCTCAAACTGTTAATGCTATCTAATTTTAATAAACAACAGTGTCATATGCAAAACTGGGGTGGCACTTGGGGTGGCAAGGGATCATTTTAGCGTGGCACTTGCCAACCCATGCCACCCTTCTAGATCCGCCCCTGCACACACACCCTCAGTTTACTCAGTTCCTCTTTCTTTGTGTCAAATTTCTGGTGCAGCTCTGCGCTAAACGTCCTCTTTTCTTCACTTCTTCTTTCTAAAGTCTATTGCCAGGGCAACTTCTCACCCTTTGACTTAGTTCTTTGTCACCTCTGGGCCTGGTTTATAAAGGCCTATACATAAAACAAAATATAATCAGAAAATAAGCATTAAGAATATATATTTAAATCCCAACAGACCCCCTTTTTAACTAATTTTCTTAGTTAACCTAATTAACTGACTCCCTCAATAACTAGTGTGAACTAAAAACAGATATAATTAACTTTTTCTGGTAAAAAATTCCTACATTACTTTTGTCACTCTTTGGAAACAGCCTCTATAGAGTTAACCTGTTTCCTCTTTAAAAATTTACTCCTGTTTTTCACTCCCTTTAACGGGTAGCACATATCCGGCCTTAACACTATTTTTGGGCAAGTTACATAACATAGAAATCCTACCAACTATCACTGTCCTTAGTTTAAGGTCTTTACTTTTAGTTTAGGTCCTTAGTTTGTATTTTGTTTATTGTTTTTTTTTCTTTCATCTCTCTGAGATCATCCCTTCTTCTTGCCCTCACTCTGCCACCAGTCATGGTAGATAGTCCTTTTGAAGACTGTTTTCATTGGAAATATCTTTGTGTATAAATAAATAAAAATTAAATACTACACAAAGATATTGAATAATGTTATTGTATCTGAAATACAGAAAATCATTGTTCACAGATGGATTGTTGTTTTGTGTGTCTGCAGTCTGTCAGGCTGTCTGATCACAGAGGAAGGCTGTACTTCTCTGGCCTCAGCTCTGAGCTCCAACCCCTCCCATCTGAGAGAGCTGGACCTGAGCTACAATCATCCAGGTGACTCAGGAATGAAGCTGCTGTTGGCTGGACTAAAGTATCCAAGCTGGACACTGGACACTCTCAGGTATGGAGGGAATGTCTGATAGAGACCTGGAAACATTTCCTGTGGCCTTCGCTCAATTTCTGTTTGTTTCATACACATGTCACATGAAACGATCCATAAAGGATAGGAGGTCTCCAGGGAGACCAACATATCTCAGTATTATTAACAGTTCAGATTAAGGAAATATTTATCCCAGAACACAACAACCACTGGAACCAGAGGGAACTGTTGGACTTGCTTTATCAAAAGAATAAAATCACTATTCTATTTTAGAGCTGTGGTAGAAACTGAGAACTGCAGGGAGATATTCTCTGTACACTTAAAGAAAAGCAGCCCTGCAGTAAGGGATTTGTGTTTCTAGTGCTTTTCATAGACAAAAGTAGCAATGTGATTTTAAAAGCCAATACACAATATGCAATAATGGAACTGGAAACTGTCCAATGTCTTGACACATAGTGAATCATCCAGGTAAGTAAATCCCCAAAATATGATTCCACTGATCAATGACCATGAGTAGCATTCACAGAGAGCCATTCCTCACAGAGAGAGGAATGGCTGCAATCACAGCATTGATCCAGTGAAACAAAAGAAGAATATAAAGATGATGAAGGTCACAGTTTGAATCAGTCATATTTCTTTCAACACAGTTGTGTGCTGACAGATCCAGGATCAGTATAAATCATCATCAGTTTGATCAACATATGGATTGAAGAGAATTTGTAAAAATGTTGGACTGTTCCTTCATCACTGTCTAACAGTATGTGTGTGAGAGCCATGTAATGTCCATGTGTGCATGCTGACTGTGCTGGTCTGACCCTCCTCCTCCTTTCAGGGTGGAGCCTGCTGGAGTCCGATGGTTGAGACCAGGTCTGAGGAAGTGTAAGTATGTTTTTAATGGGATTCATGAAAACAAATCAGCACACATTCAACCATCATCAAACTTTCACATCACTTATTCACATCTCTGATGTCAGGAGTCATCATCAAAGTGTCAATCAATGAACAGATGATGGATCAATAACTGCAGCTGGATTGTGTTTGTTCTCCCCATCAGATTCCTGTCAACTCACAATCGACACAAACACAGTAAACAGACACATTAAACTGTCTGACAACAACAGGAAGATGACACGTGTGGACGAGGTTCAGTCATATCCTGATCATCCAGACAGATTTGATTATTTTTATCAGCTGCTGTGTAGTACTGGTCTGACTGGTCGCTGTTACTGGGAGGTCGAGTGGAAAGAAACGGTTGAGATATCAGTGAGTTACAGAAGAATCAGAAGAAAAGGAGACAGTTATGACTGCGTGTATGGATGGAACGATCATTCCTGGAGTCTGATCTGCTCTGAAGATGGTCCTCATTATGTCATGTACAATAACAAAGTGACATTCATCTCCTCCACCTCCCCCTCCTCTGTCTCTAACAGAGTAGCAGTGTATGTGGACTGTCCTGCTGGCACTCTGTCCTTCTACAGAGTCTCCTCTGACACTCTGATCCACCTCCACACCTTCAACACCACATTCACTGAAACTCTTTATCCTGGGTTTGGGTTCAATCCTGGTTGCTCGGTGCATCTGTGCTGAGTTGGGTGTAGAGAGTGTCTCCTGTTAGAGAAACACTCTGACTGCTGAACAGTTCAGTCTGTACATGTTTGTCTGTTTCACTTAGAAACAGGTTTTCAGATTCATGGATTCAATCAGTTGATCTTTTAAACTGTTCTAAATGATTCCTTGTGAACTTCTTCCTCTTCAGTCCTTTAGCAAACAAATGTTAACATGTAGACACAAGACTAAGATGAATCATTCCATCTGAATACAGTGAATGTGATCTTTGATTTTTAGGAAATTAACATAATTCCTTTCGTCATTTTATAATATTAAAATATTTAAAATCAATCCAATGTATTTGAAATGTCAG